AGCTCTTTATCACATTCATCTAAAACAAAGCAGTCTTGTAAAGTAATGTGATAACAACCTGACTTAAACTATACTCACATAGTTTGTCCTTGTTCTTCTTTTTAAGCTCAATGAGAAAACGTGGTTGGAAGAAACCTGTGAGTCAAAGTTTGTATACCACATACATATCATATATTATTTAAGAAACTTGGACATGCTGGGATACAGAAATGACATGCTCATTTTTGTGGAATCGGCCGCTGCAAGAGCTACAGTTAATCTGTGGCACTTGTTGCAACAACTAGAAGCATTTGTGGCATCTGCTTTTATATTTATGACTGTTGATTACTGCTGTGTCCTATAAATAATATGATAATGCATAAAATGGAACACACTTCAAGGGACAAATGGAACGTTCACACAATGACTTACCTGGTTTTTGATTTGAACACATGGCTTTAACCCTCCTCCTCCACTCCGTCTCTCCAGTGTCTGAACTCATCTGTTCCACCTCTCTGGTCATGAAAAACAAGCAAATAAATTTACTGTGCTTCATCACATGTGCAGACAAAACTTTATACTATACCTGCACAGTATATTTCCTGTTCGGACCATTTTCAATGTTTTACTTTTCCTTTTAATCTAAAACAGAGAAAGTCTCATAAAGTAATGTGACAGTTACTAGAGGTATTTAAACTACTGATACTTACTTCTTCATCCCTACAGAGCAAACCTGAGAATCAAAGCTTTAGATAGATACACACATCTATCCATGAACAAGACAAATAAATACATAGTTCTAAAATTAGCAAACATGTCATTAAAATGCAACAGCACCCTAGATCACAGCAGCTGAGGTGGTGTATCCACTGGGTCGAGTAGGACAGGTCACAGCAGCAGAGGTGGTGCAGCTGCTGGGTGGAGGAGGACAGGTCACAGCAGCAGAGGTAGTGCAGCTACTGGGTGGAGGAGGACAGGTCACAGCAGCAGAGGTGATGTAGCTGCTGGGTGGAGGAGGACAGGTCACAGCAGCAGAGGTGGTGTATCCACTGGGTGGAGTAGGACAGGTCACAGCAGCAGAGGTGGTGTAGCCACTGGAGCAGGACAGGTCACAGCAGCAGAGGTGGTGTAGCCGCTGGAGCAGGACAGGTCACAGGAGCAGAGTTGGTGTAGCTACTCAGTGGAGTAGGACAGGTCACAGCAGCAGAGGTGGTATTGCCGCTGGGTGGAGGAGGACAGGTCACAGCAGCAGAGGTGGTGCAGCTGCTGTGTGGAGGAGGACAGGTCACAGCAGCAGAGGTGGTGCAGCTGCTGTGTGGAGGAGGACAGGTCACAGCAGCAGAGGTGGTGCAGCTGCTGGGTGGATGAGGACAGGTCACAGCAGCAGAGGTGGTGTATCCACTGGGTGGAGTAGGACAGGTCACAGCAGCAGAGTTGGTGTAGCTACTCGGTGGAGGAGGACAGGTCACAGCAGCAGAGTTGGTGCAGCTGCTGGGTGGAGGAGGACAGGTCACAGCAGCAGAGGTGGTGTAGCCGCTGGGTGGAGGAGGACAGGTCACAGCAGCAGAGGTGGTGTAGCCACTGAGGCGGGACAGGTCACAGCAGCAGAGGTGGTGTAGCCGCTGGAGCAGGACAGGTCACAGGAGCAGAGTTGGTGTAGCTACTCAGTGGAGTAGGACAGGTCACAGCAGCAGAGATGGTATTGCCGCTGGGTGGAGGAGGACAGGTCACAGCAGCAGAGGTGGTGCAGCTGCTGTGTGGAGGAGGACAGGTCACAGCAGCAGAGGTGGTGCAGCTGCTGTGTGGAGGAGGACAGGTCACAGCAGCAGAGGTGGTGCAGCTGCTGGGTGGATGAGGACAGGTCACAGCAGCAGAGTTGGTGTAGCTACTCGGTAGAGGAGGACAGGTCACAGCAGCAGAGTTGGTGCAGCTGCTGGGTGGAGGAGGACAGGTCACAGCAGCAGAGGTGGTGTAGCCGCTGGGTGGAGGAGGACAGGTCACAGCAGCAGAGGTGGTGTAGCCACTGAGGCGGGACAGGTCACAGCAGCAGAGGTGGTGTAGCCGCTGGAGCAGGACAGGTCACAGGAGCAGAGTTGGTGTAGCTACTCAGTGGAGTAGGACAGGTCACAGCAGCAGAGGTGGTATTGCCGCTGGGTGGAGGAGGACAGGTCACAGCAGCAGAGGTGGTGCAGCTGCTGTGTGGAGGAGGACAGGTCACAGCAGCAGAGGTGGTGCAGCTGCTGTGTGGAGGAGGACAGGTCACAGCAGCAGAGGTGGTGCAGCTGCTGGGTGGATGAGGACAGGTCACAGCAGCAGAGGTGGTGTATCCACTGGGTGGAGTAGGACAGGTCACAGCAGCAGAGTTGGTGTAGCTACTCGGTAGAGGAGGACAGGTCACAGCAGCAGAGTTGGTGCAGCTGCTGGGTGGAGGAGGACAGGTCACAGCAGCAAAGGTGGTGCAGCCGCTGGGTGGAGGCGGACAGGTCACAGCAGCAGAGGTGGTGCAGCCACTGGGTGGAGACGGACAGGTCACAGCAGCAGAGGTGGTGTAGCCGCTGGGTGGAGGAGGACAGGTCACAGCAGCAGAGGTGGTGCAGCCGCTGGGTGGAGGCGGACAGGTCACAGCAGCAGAGGTGGTGTAGCCGCTGGGTGGAGGAGGACAGGTCACAGCAGCAGAGGTGGTGCAGCCACTGGGTGGAGACGGACAGGTCACAGCAGCAGAGGTGGTGCGGCTGCTGGGTGGAGGAGGACAGGTCACAGCAGCAAAGGTGGTGCAGCCGCTGGGTGGAGGCGGACAGGTCACAGCAGCAGAGGTGGTGTAGCCGCTGGGTGGAGGAGGACAGGTCACAGCAGCAGAGGTGGTGCGGCTGCTGGGTGGAGGAGGACAGGTCACAGCAGCAGAGGTGGTGCAGCCGCTGGGTGGAGGCGGACAGGTCACAGCAGCAGAGGTGGTGTAGCCGCTGGGTGGAGGAGGACAGGTCACAGCAGCAGAGGTGGTGCGGCTGCTGGGTGGAGGAGGACAGGTCACAGCAGCAAAGGTGGTGCAGCCGCTGGGTGGAGGCGGACAGGTCACAGCAGCAGAGGTGGTGTGGCCGCTGGGTGGAGGAGGACAGGTTACAGCAGCAGAGGTGGTGCAGCTGCTGGGTGGAGGAGGACAGGTCACAGCAGCAAAGGTGGTGCAGCCGCTGGGTGGAGGCGGACAGGTCACAGCAGCAGAGGTGGTGTGGCCGCTGGGTGGAGGAGGACAGGTCACAGCAGCAGAGGTGGTGTGGCCGCTGGGTGGAGGAGGACAGGTCACAGCAGCAGAGGTGGTGTAGCCGCTGGGTGGAGGAGGACAGGTCACAGCAGCAGAGGTGGTGCGGCTGCTGGGTGGAGGAGGACAGGTCACAGCAGCAAAGGTGGTGCAGCCGCTGGGTGGAGGCGGACAGGTCACGGCAGCAGAGGTGGTGTTGCCGCTGGGTGGAGGAGGACAGGTCACAGCAGCAGAGGTGGTGCAGCTGCTGGGTGGAGGAGGACAGGTCACAGCAGCAAAGGTGGTGCAGCCGCTGGGTGGAGGCGGACAGGTCACAGCAGCAGAGGTGGTGTGGCCGCTGGGTGGAGGAGGACAGGTCACAGCAGCAGAGGTGGTGTAGCCGCTGGTTGGAGGATGACAGGTCACAGCAGCAGAGGTGGTGTAGCCGCTGGGTGGAGGAGGACAGGTCACAGCAGCAGAGGTGGTGTAGCCGCTGGGTGGAGGAGGACAGGTCACAGCAGCAGAGGTGGTGTGGCCGCTGGGTGGAGGAGGACAGGTCACAGCAGCAGAGGTGGTGTAGCCGCTGGGTGGAGGAGGACAGGTCACAGCAGCAGAGGTGGTGTGGCCGCTGGGTGGAGGAGGACAGGTCACAGCAGCAGAGGTGGTGTAGCCGCTGGGTGGAGGAGGACAGGTCACAGCAGCAGAGGTGGTGCGGCTGCTGGGTGGAGGAGGACAGGTCACAGCAGCAAAGGTGGTGCAGCCGCTGGGTGGAGGCGGACAGGTCACAGCAGCAGAGGTGGTGTGGCCGCTGGGTGGAGGAGGACAGGTTACAGCAGTAGAGGTGGTGCGGCTGCTGGGTGGAGGAGGACAGGTCACAGCAGCAAAGGTGGTGCAGCCGCTGGGTGGAGGCGGACAGGTCACGGCAGCAGAGGTGGTGTGGCCGCTGGGTGGAGGAGGACAGGTCACAGCAGCAGAGGTGGTGCAGCCGCTGGGTGGAGGCGGACAGGTCACAGCAGCAGAGGTGGTGTGTGGAGGAGGACAGGTCACAGCAGCAGAGGTGGTGTAGCCGCGGGGTGGAGGAGGACAGGTCACAGCAGCAGAGGTGGTGTGGCCGCTGGGTGGAGGAGGACAGGTCACAGCAGCAGAGGTGGTGTAGCCGCTGGGTGGAGGAGGACAGGTCACAGCAGCAGAGGTGGTGTAGCCACTGGGTGGAGGAGGACAGGTCACAGCAGCAGAGGTGGTGTAGCCACTGGGTGTATTGGACATGCTGAGATGGATAAAGCCTAATGTTGTGGCTTCAGTGGCTCCTGTTCTAATTTCTAACCACTGGCAGCAGCTTTTGCATCTTGACTGGTTGAGGTCTCTTTTGTGTTTTTTAAAGGGATCGAACAGAGATCTTACCAATTGAAACAAAAATAATACAGAAACACACAGAACCTGTCCATTTATGGTACATAACGAACATTTATATTTTTAAGGAATCCAACGGGATTGTTAACGGGAACACAACAACATTAACAGTATCAAACCTATGTAAAGGATCAAACGTGAATCCGGCAAAAACAGTGACAAAAGTAACCTATATAAAGGATCAAACGTGAATCCGGGAAAAGATAACAACAACAAACGTAATATTTTTTTGTGTGTTTTTTTTTTAAAAGGGTCAAACTGGGATCCAACTATGCACATATTTACAAAGTCATACATCACCCATCACCGGGACACGGTCTTGTGAGCCCCAGTTCCTCTCTGCTCCTTAAAAGAAACAAAGCAGAGAGTGCATCAGTTCTTAACAAGACTTGTGCTTTTTGGGTGGATGTTTGGCGTCCGGCTCACGTGACCTTTTGCGCTTGTGCTTCTGGGCCTTCTCAGACAGCGCCCAGGCCGAGGAAGGTCCAGGGATGGCAGGGGTGGGCTCAGACTGCGGGGAAATAGGGACAGAGTTAGATTTGGAGATCTGAGGAGGTGCTTTAGCAGGAGGTGCAGGTTTAGCTGGAGGAGTGCGTCTGGGAACTTTACGGACGCAGGGAATAGGAGCGAACCAAGAGTCAGTCAGAGAGGTGAGCTGAAGACGCCCGGGAGGAGGAGGGGCAGAGGAGGGCATAGGAGGAGCAGAGCGAGGAGCAGAGCGAGGAGCAGAGCGAGGAGCAGAGCGAGGAGCAGAGCGAGGAGCAGAGCGAGGAGCAGAGCGAGGAGGAGAGCGAGAGGAGCGCTGAAGAGGAGTAGAATAAGCAGAGGGAGGAGGACGAGAGAGGATCCTGCCAGGGTGAACAGTGCAGAGCCAAGACACAGGGACCATGCGCGAGACAGCAGGAGCAGAGTAGGGTTTAGGGCGCTTGGGAGCAGAGCGAGACTTAGACTTAGACTTAGACTTAGCAGGAGGAGGAGGAGGAGAAGGAGGAGGAGGAGGGGGAACAGAGGGGCGAGGGGAGAGAGAAGAAGAGGAGTAGAGAGAGGTCCTCCCGAACAGAGAGAAGCTAGCAGAGGAGCCAGGCATAGTGTCAGAGAGTGAGGACTTAGCTTAAAAGCAGAGTCCTGTCCATGAGTCTTTATGGAGAAGGAGCACAAGGATCTGTGGAGGAACAGGACATGTCACCCATCACTGCAAACATTTCACACAACAGAGATTCACTACATTCTTCATTTCATTGTTTTCTAAGAATATTTTTTAACTTATTCAGAACCTTTGTTTTTACCCAATTACTTTCAAAACACATTGAGTACAGGATTTACAGTAGCTAAGTTAAAGAGTCTGGATTCATAAAAAACCTGTAGATCTAACCCATGAGTTAAGGTTGGGGTACCTAACATTCAAAACTCAATAAATGACACTATTTATATCCAAATAATGAGTTTCTCACTTTCAAAACAGTACATTTATATCAGAAGTTTTCATCTTGTGTAATATTATGTTAAAAGACGGGGTACCTATACCTATATAACTGTTTGTTTCATAACTAATTCCTTCCAAACAGACAATCTGTTCAGACCACAACATAGTGTTTTATCTACATCTTATAATAAGGCTCATACTTGTAAGAAAGGACCCCATGAGTCACTATTTGACTCTCAGGGCTGAGAGCTCATTGGCTGAGTGAGCGTGGTTCTTTTCACGTTACTGTCTTAAAAAGCTGATCTAAAGTTGTGACAGAGGCCGAGAATACACGCATGTGAAAACTAGTGGTGCTACCAAACTGTTTTAGAGACAGGAACTTGGATTTTATTGTGTAGGTCCATATTTTGTGGTTTGAAAGTTAGGTATCCCAGCTTTAACTGAGTGTAATGAGTTGTTCCAGCTGCAGGGCTGTGGTTTCATGTACTTTACACTTTGGTTTATTATTGTTTCATGGATACTTTATGATGCACCTGCAGGAGCTGACGGCACAACATCACTAATACTCAATTCAATTCCATTCAATGTGTTTTTGTTTATCCCTAAATCACAACAGTAGTTATCTCTGAGGACTTTACACAGTTGTGGATTCACCAACACAGATCAGAGAATCAAACAGTTCAAACAGAGCAAATGTAAAGCACATAGAACCATTGGTCCATAAGGGGCAGATGACCAATGTCCATAAATGTGAGTAGATGTAAATAAATGTTGTTAAATGTTGTTCCTCATGTGTCTAAAGTCACATAAACCTGCTTTAACTTTGATCCAAGTCACTGTGTGTCTGAGTAACAGGCCAAACACATAGGGACAGGACAGGGAAAGTGGAAAAGCTCGCCTTTTGTCTCGCAGTCTCACAGTCCGGACAGAAGGGGTCAGCAGGTGTCAGCAGTGGTCTGAGTATCACTGGTCAGCAGTGATGTCTCCTGGTGTAAGAAATCCTCGAGTGAAGTTTGCCAAAAACAATTTGTGTCACAGCCAAAGTTTTGCACTTGTGCTCTGATTCAAAAGATGCACTGTTTTAAAAGATGCACCTAGCAACAGGTTACCCTAGCAACAGAAGACCCATGCAACAGATGTGTTGACCTCAAAACACGAACCTGAGGCACTGATATGACAATGAGATCTTATGAGAAGAGAAGATGTTTTATGCTCCATAAAACTTGTTCCTCACTCTCAAAACAGTAAAGTTCTACTTTTCACATGTCTTTATTTTGGCCTCTGACTCATCCTGTGTGTAAATATAATAGTTACTTAAAGGCACACCGCGGACTTTGTGACCTAAAGAGTTGACACATATGAGTTATTTTATATGAATACTTGGGCCAATATACAGCGCTTGACACTTGCAATGCTCCGAGCGGGGCTGCCCTCTTGAAATACCGCCCATGTAAGTTTCGAGCAGACGGACCGTCTGCCACCAGGTCACGTGACTTGGAAGAAAGACTTGCTTTACGGCTACAGGCGCTGATATACTCATGGAGCTAAGGCTTTTGCTACTCATTTTTCACCTGCTCGACTCCTGGTCATGGCTGAGGCAAGGAAAAATTTTAAACCTTCGGAGGAGGCTAAAAAGAGGAAACGCGAAAGGGATCGTGCTGTAAGCTGCATGTCTGTATGGAGCGCTGCTCTTCACCTGGTTCCTGGATGTCATCGACTGCAAAGATGTCATTCCACGCAGCACGAGCTAGACGCAGAACTCCCTCATCCAGGATATAGAAGTCCATGTGTGGTAGATTACTAATGCAGCGGTCTGGAGGCTGACCACAGCAGAGTCTCTCAATATCTGTAGGCATGTCTCTACAGTTTGAACACACACACCAGTGCATGCTGTCTGAATACACACTCAAAAGACACCGGCTGACTGTTGACTTTTGCGACAGTGCTGAGTTGCTTGTGGCCACTAGGGGCGCTAAACGTGAAAGTTGCAGGTCTAGCGCCCCTAGTGGCCAAGAGTTACACGGTGTGCCTTTAACTGGGGTACCTATACTTACTGTATGTTTGTTTCATTTAACCTGGGTAAGCACTGTCAAGAATTAAGCTCTGATGTGGACATGGAATCAAAAAGTGAGAGTTTGTAACTCTAAATTAATTGATTGAAAAGTAGGCGACAGTAGCTCAGTTGGTAGAGCATTGGCCTTAAGGCCAGAAGGTCGTGGGTTCAATTCCCACCTCTATACCTTCTCCACCGACTCCCACTGATGACTGCTGTCGATGTGTCCTTGGGCAAGACACTTAACCCCACTTTGCCCAAAGCCCCCACTGAAAGATCAAGGCTATGCTCACAGTCAGAGAGCAGCCGTCCTCCTGTGGACTCACCACCTGCAGAGGGTCAGTGAGGGGCTGGTGCTATGAGACTTGGGTGGCATCTCTGACTGCCACCCCCCTGACCCAGAAATGGATTAAAGGGTAGAAAATGGATGGATGGATGGATGGATGGATGAAAAGTAGGCGCGGCTTCATGACCAATCAGAAAGGAAGGGGAGGGAGCTTGGGTCGCTTTTTTTTTTCTTCAAATCATGTACCCCTCTCTTTTTTTCTGACAAAGTCCAGACTATCACTTTAAGTCTGCTGCAGAGTGCTTGATGCTCTAGTCCTCTAAACTAAATGTTGTAGTAACTAGTTCTTTTATGACCTGCATGCTTTTAGTATAAAAACTATCAGCTATTCCTCATGACATGATTCTCTAAAGACAGATTAACAGAGGCACTAACAATGTGCACCTGTCATTGGAAGGCGATGTGGCACTTTTGCATCAGTATAAAATGATAAACATGCTGTGAAAATGGATTGTTGTTCACGTTGTGTACCAACAATAAACGTGCCCTCTGCTGACCTGTGTCTTCTGAGACACAATCCCTGTTACCTTGCATCCATTCTTCATCACAAAGACAGTGCCAATTATGAATCACTTCCTGTTTTAAGTATCAATTTAAGCCCCTTATTAAATTCAAAAGATTTTATTTTGACATGATAATCCCTATAGAAACTATAATTTTTTTAAAGCCCATTATGAACCCAATGGATAGCTATAAAGTGGGGAAACTGCACACTCTGCGGAATTAGAGTGATCACATGAAGTCATGATACACAACATCTTGTTATTGGTCAATATATTGTTTTCCTGTATTGTCTGTATTGAAAAAAAAAATGAATGGGAAAGTGTGTATTAACAAGCACCTACTTCAGGAATTACACTGAAATTAACTTTAAAACACCCAAAGAAAATATAGACTAGTATACAGTATGTTGAACATTCAAATCTTGTTGAGAGGTGACAAGAGAAAGCTCTCACCCCTGTGCCACCGTCATGCTGGATGGATGGATGGATACTGAGTTTTCACTGCCATGTATTTGCTAGTTCATACTAAAATATGTGAATGTTCTTATCAAGTTCATTTATTTCTACCCCTATAGTCCATTTCTGGATCTGACAACGAGCCCTGTCACCCAATGCTCATACCACCAGTCCGTCGCTGATCCTCTTGTAGGTGGTGGGTCCACAGGAAGATGGCTGCTCCTCAGTCAGCGGTAAGTAAGTAATCTTTATTTATATACCGCCTTTCACGGACCAGAGTCACAAAGCGGTTTCCAATTGTTATTTTTGGGTATTTATCCTCTCACTCCACACAGAGATGGGAGCGGGGTCGCCAGAACAGGAGGGGCCTGCCAGACATGTTTTTAGTGGTAAGGGGAACCGGAGTACCCGGAGGAAACCTACACAGACACGGGGAGAACAGGCAAACTCCACTCAGAAAGGCCCTGTTCCGGCCGGGATTCAAACCCAGGACCTTCTTGCTGAGAGGCGAGAGTGCTATCCACTCAGCAACTGTGCCGCCCACCCGTGTTCTGACACAGCCAGGTCTTTTAGCAGGGGGTTCAGGTAATGTGGGGTAAAGAGTCTTGCCCAAGGACACATCGACAGCAGACATTAGTGGGAGCAGTTGGAGAAGGTCTCAAGGTGGACTCGAACCCGCGACCTCAAAGGCCAATGCTCTACCAATTGAGCCGCTGTCAAATACATAACAACTTTCGAATGTGAAATTAATGCGTTCTTCTAGAAATGCTTCAACGGACTGTCCAAAGGTTCAATGTGTTGCGTTCTTAGGTATGAAAATCTCTATAAAATCATTATTATTACGAGCCCAAAAGGAGATAAGTGATTTGACACACTCATCTTTGATTGGCCTCTCCAGATGTGCATGATTGGTGCCACCTCGAGCATGCAGCTGGTGTGGCCTTGCTCTGGCCCCATGTTTATCAGGACAAGTGCGACACGTTCCCTTTGTCTGCACTCTGCTGGCTACATGAAACACTTTAGTACGTGTGCATTTGGCGAAATACACAGACAGTGAGGTCTAAAATTGCCTGCAAGCTTGGGTAGTTGTTTTTTTGGTACCCTACTCGGGTTTCTCTACGCAAAACAACATAGGGCCCACAAATTATTTGTTGTACACTAATGCGAGCAAGTAACAAAGTATTTTTTACAGACTTCTACAGACACTATCCATGGAGAGTCACAAAGTGCTAACTATTGCTCCACCATGTCGCCTGATGTAAAACCAGTGGGGGCATTAAAGCATAGTTTCTTTCCTTTCCGAATGATCCCACTAGGGACCCAAGGTGGTTCCATTGGGAAATACCTTTTGGATATCCTATCTAGTGCCCACCGATGATAGCTTGATGATAGTTTTAACTAAAATGTAGATGAACTGAAAAGTAAAATAAAAAAACGGGACTGTTAGGAAATTAATCAAAATGTGATGAAGATGAATGATAGCTTGTCTTTGTGATATCCCAAAATGGGCTACTCGAGAAGACAATCCAAGAGGAGCAATCTCCGCATTGATAGCAGAATCTGCAGGAAAAACTTGGACTAACTCTACACTAATGAGGACAGACCAAAGCAGTCAAAGTGAACAGGAAGGAACTGTCCAAGATGAAAGCAGCATCAGAAAAGCCTTTTCGCGACATGTTCGACTAAAAAATTTTCCAGGAAACTGTGCTCCAAAGTAACTCCAAGCTGACATAAAAGGTATAATGTTGGATTTGTTAGTAGATTGAGTGGTGGAATGGTGGCTGCTTTTGTGGTGGTCCAGACAATGGCAACCTGTGTTTGGAGAGTGATTCAGGAGTGACTTGTGTTTGGCCTGATCAACTGCGCACATTTCATGTCCTGGTGATGTCTTCCTCTTCCAGTTACTCTGGGGTGGAGCTCGGCTCCCAGGATGCCTGGCTCACTCCATGGGGGCTGGAGCAGCTAACCTGGCTGCCTGAGTTCTGGGCCCGTCCCAACCAGGCAGGGTTCGTAATCCTACCTTGCACTACATCCCGTGAGTATTTTTAGGATTGGTGATTACAAAACATGGGGTTATGTTTTGTAACTTAAGGGGGAGAGTGTTACAGCCTTTGTCTACTTATCCTAAATGATAAGTAGACAAAAATCAAAAGGACACATTACAGGACCATAAAGGGCATAACGTGGTAACTCAACGTTACCAAAATAAAACCTACACTAAACACTAATGCACTTAGAACTTAACACTAAACCTACTGCTGTCTCAACAAAAGCAAAGTGTCACAAAAACAAAACCTCAATGTGACAACTAAAAAGAGACAAACCAAATAAAAGCTATACGGACTCTGTCTTTAAGTCATTGCCACCACTGTGACAATGACAGACATATCGTAAGGACAATTGGCATACCAGCAACACACAGGCTGGCAGCCCCGAACAGGTGTGGAGTGTGGCCTTAAGTGGAGAGTGACTCCAGGTGGGAAAGCTGAATGGGGCCAGGTCCATATAGCTCTCCCCCTTAAGATACAAAACATAGAGAGAGAGAGACAAATAAAAAGAGACAAACCAAATAAAAACTGTGCGGACTCTGTCTTTACGGTCATTGCCACCACTGTGACAACGAGAGACATCTCTTAAAGTAGCAGTATGTAATATTTGCATTTCAAGTCATCATGAAATGGCCCCCATATTTCAGAAGGCGTTATTAAATCATGCTCTTTTCGAATACATCTTTAACTGATAACAGTAGTTCAGCCGAGATATTTGAATATCAAAATTAGTTTTACGACCTGTAGTGTTGTGTAGTTGTTATTGTTTTGATTTTGTTGTCCTACCCTCCGCCGTTTCGCCAATCAGGAAGTCCCATGGAAGTCCGTTATCGGGTTGCCAGAACTCTGCGCGGCTCACTAATCTCAGTGGTAAAAAAACATGTGGCCCCAGAACTAAAAAAGGTCTTGTTATGACTCTCAAATAATTAATGACAAAACAAAGACTAAAACAAGGATTTATATCGGGACGCCTTTGAACAATTGAGACAGCTGATAAAAGTTTACGTGTGATGCAAAATTTGCTGCTTTGACTCCGTTCTTAAGAGTAGAGTGTTCAGTGTGAATCGGTGGGCTAGTGGATATACAGTGCCTTGCGAAAGTATTCGGCCCCCTTGAACCTTTCAACATTTCGCCACATTTCAGGCTTCAAACATTAAGATATAGAAATTAAATTTTTTTGTCAAGAATCAACAAGTGGGACACAATCGTGAAGTTGAACAAAATTTATTGGATAATTTAAACTCTTAACAAATAAAAAACTGAAAAGTGGGGCGTGCAATATTATTCGGCCCCCTTGCGCTAATACTTTGTAGCGCCACCTTTTGCTGCAATTACAGCTGCAAGTCGCTTGGGGTATGTCTCTATCAGTTTTGCGCATCGAGAGACTGGAATTCTTTCCCATTCTTCCTTGCAAAACAGCTCGAGCTCAGTGAGGTTGGATGGAGAGCATTTGTGAACAGCAGTCTTCAGCTCTTTCCACAGATTCTCGATTGGATTCAGGTCTGGACTTTGACTTGGCCATTCTAACACCTGGATACGTCTATTTGTGAACCATTCCATTGTAGATTTGGCTTTATGTTTTGGATCATTGTCCTGTTGGAAGATAAATCAGATCAGATTCAGATTCAGATTCATTTATTTGCCATTTGCAGTAAAACCACATTGGAAAAACTGTGCAAGACTACCCCGGTGTGCACCAGACAGAAAAGACGACACACACCAGAGCTCTTGCCACGGCGCCATCTTTACGGCGCCATGCGACAAACAGTAGAATAAACAGCAGAGAGCAATAACATACAGTTTCACAGACAGTTGGATAGACACATTGTGCTTTGTATAAAGCACGGATTTTTTCTCGGGATGAGCACCTCCGACAGCCGGCCAATGTGGCTGTCAGAGGGGGGCGGGGTCAGGGAGGGGGGTGAGTCGGAAACACAGTGAGGAGTGGAGGGGAGGGAGGGAGCAAGATGGATAGGTAGAGGGAGGCGGGGGTAGGGGATCCAAGCTGGAGACTGAATAGTGTGAATTGTTGTAGATTGGGACCTGTGTTATTATGGCCTTGGCCGAGGAATGTGAGATAAGAGTGGAGAGAAGGCACAGGAGGAGAAAAACACATCGCCTCAAGGGGACAATATTAAATGCAATGTAGCAAATCTCCGTCCCAGTCTCAGGTCTTTTGCAGACTCCAACAGGTTTTCTTCCAGAATGGTCCTGTATTTGGCTCCATCCATCTTCCCATCAATTTTAGCCATCTTCCCTGTCCCTGCTGAAGAAAAGCAGGCCCAAAGCATGATGCTGCCACCACCATGTTTGACAGTGGGGATGGTGTGTTCAGGGTGATGAGCTGTGTTGCTTTTACGCCAAACATATCGTTTTGCATTGTGGCCAAAAAGTTCAATTTTGGTTTCATCTGACCAGAGCACCTTCTTCCACATGTTTGGTGTGTCTCCCAGGTGGCTTATACGGAGACTTGATTACACACAGGTGCATTCTATTTATCATCATCAGTCATTTAGGACAACATTGGATCATTCAAAGATCCTCACTGAACTTCTTGAGTGAGTTTCCTGCACTGAAAGTAAAGGGGCCGAATAATATTGCACGCCCCACTTTTCAGTTTTTTATTTGTTAAAAAAGTTTAAATTATCCAATAAATTTCGTTCCACTTCACGATTGTGTCCCACTTGTTGTTGATTCATGACAAAAAATTAAAATTTTATATCTTAATGTTTGAAGCCTGAAATGTGGCGAAATGTTGAAAGGTTCAAAGGGGCCGAATACTTTCGCAAGGCACTGTAACTAAGCGCTCACAATACAGTAATCCGGGTTCGATTCCGGGTAGGAGCCTATTTGTATTTAATTGCATGTTATCACATTCTATGACAGATTGCTCTAAATACGGTAAAAGACGAAAGTCAAGACGTTTTTTTGAAGATTATAGCTTAAATTGTAAAAAGAATCATTTGAGACCACATGTACCCCAATTAAAATAATGTTAGTCTCTTTTTGATATGGGACTTTTTTTGTCAAAAAAATAGGGAATAAATAAAATTGAAAGGTGATATGCTCTGGAGCAAACCTTGATGTTGATACGCTGAAGAAATACGTTCCAACATCCATTCTTCCCACTCCTATTGTGGACATCAATTGCTTATTTATTTTGGATAATCTATAATTACATTGCTTTTATTTTGTTTTTTGTTTTTTATCTCAAATGTCCAAATAAATAAAAATAATTAAACATTCATTCAACATTAGCATGCCTCATGGCAATGTGAATGGAGACAGAAAAACAACTGATAAAATAATTCCCTGTGTTTGCTGCTGGATTTGGTGTGTATCTGGCAACCTGAGTCAGGGAGAGTGGGAGAGGACTACAAAATATTGACTGTGACTGCAGTACCACTTTTGGCCAGATTTGTACATATCGTTCCTTTAAAGGTCCTATATCGCGCTTCTAATTGTGCTTCACAGTCCATCCTATGCACATGTGTGTTCATAAATTTGTTGACACACCATACATCACTCAACACTTGTCTAGTTAAAGCCATTTCTTACAAGGAGGCTACGTCACCTCAAATGAAACGAGCTGATTTCTGCTCCTCTGCCTGTGAGCCCGCCTCCCCCCTCCCGCACGGTGACGTAGCCCAGACCACAGCCGTCCCCCATCACGCCCACTCGCTGAAGTAGGCTGAGCCACGCTGAGTTTGTAAACACGAGCGCACCTGCAGACTCGATAATAAACTTTTTACAACGATGGCAATCCGTCACATAGAGCCATATGTCCTCGATCCAGAGTCGGACCCAGAGTTCGAGGTACATGAAGTGCAACAGCCCCGAAGGAACCACCAGGACGTCTCGGCTTGGTAAAATATGAGCTAACGCTACGCTAGCAATCATTTTATTACAGCAGAAGCTTTGATATGATTTTTTCTTAGGTGCACATGCGGGAACTGTAGGACAATGCCAACAGAAAGAGAAAATGTATGCTGTGAAGAAATTCCACAGGTAATTGTAATAATCATAAAGGCGTAGAATATCCCTCCTGTGGACTCACCACCTGCAGAGGGTCAGTGAGGGGCTGGTGCTATGAGACTTGGGTGGCATCTCTGATTGTCACCCCCCCTGACCCAGAAATGGATTAAAGGGAAGAAAATGGATGGATGGATGGATGGATGGCGTAGAATATCAACGATGCATTTTGTAAACAGTAACAATACAACGGTCTAAACAAGCTCAAAGATGTGTCACCTACTGTATGCATTTATAGTAATTGGGGAACAATTCTATATTAAAATAAATCGATGCACTACAATAATCATTATTCCATGACATGGCTTTCTCACACTTTTTCTTTTCATATGTAGGTTCTGAGACGGATAAATCTGCTGCCTGATCCACCTCCCTGCATTATAGACCACCCTGGCTTTGCAATGAATATACATATTTTTGTTCTGAAAACCATAAATAATATTTATCGTGCAGACTATGGGCCAGTTCGAAGGAGAACACAAGAAGAGTAAGTACACTTTAATTTAAATATTTTATTTGCAATCATTTATTATGTACTTTTCCAAATTCTATGGAATTTATACCTGTATAGTTTTACATCACTATTTGTCAACACAGCAGAGAATAAAACGGCTCTAACAACAGAAATGCAATGATACAAACAAAGAGTCATTGATCCATAAGGGCCAGATGAGTGTCCTAGATAATCACCACAGTCCTTCTGGTTAGACACCAACTGTCAAACAGACTGTCCTGCAAGTGAGAAACTTCAGGGAGATCTACATTGAGAGAGGGATCCACTCCCCACCGGGCTATAGATCTAGGACTTAGGCTAAAGAACGACAGACACATTGCAGAACTCGGGCTACAGAACAAGTACTGAGGCAGCTTCATGGGTTCAGGAGTACAATCATCACAACATAAATGACATAAAGGACAGCAAATTACAGTACATAGAACAGTAAATTTCACTAATTTACATATGTGCACTCTCGGTAGCCGTCTCAGATTTGTGGCGTACTGATTCTGCTGGGAGCTAGAATCAGGGTGGTCATCCCTGCATGTGCAGTGCTCAGGATACGCCAGGAGTTCCCAGATCCTGAAGGCCAGTACGTTGGCTTTCTACCCTCTGGTCAGCCTCGGCTGCCCCTCGACTGAACCTGGCAACATGTGCAGCGACCACATCTCCCTTGGGAACTCTCTCAAACTGAGAGCTGAGGTCTGCAGGCACAGGGACAGTCTTCAACTGTTCAATTAAAGGAGCTGGCTCGGAGAAGACCTCAGTGAAGACGAGGTGCATCAGCTCAGAGACATATCCTGCAAAAGTGTGACTAGTTATATTTTTCATTTGGAGATATATCTATATATCTAAATATATATATATATATATTGTACACTGACAATGTAAAATGTTTGTACAGTGTTTTTGATTACCAAATGTTGGCTTTGTTTCGACAGGCTTTGCTGTAGGCTTTCCTTTTTTGTATTTAGGGTAGGAAACTTTGAATAAAGGCTGCCCTTTTGAAGATGCTTGCTCACGCTTCACGTTTTCATTGAAGTGCATTCCTGCCAAAAACAACCTGCAAAAAAAGAGTGTCAATGTAGAAAGGATTTGTAATACTCATGATTGTTACAAAAACTATTCAGTTATATTACCTGCACATCATTCCGACAAAAGGGTACAACAATTTTTTGGGGGCAAAGCGGAGAATAACGCTATGAAACGCCTCCAGTGACGATGTCTGGTGCTCAGAGCTGAGTTTCTTTACATCTTCCAGCAGTCTCTTGTTCACAAGTAGCTTTTCTAGTTTGTTCAATGGGGCAGAACCTGAGTAAATAAGCAATGTATTGGTAAACATGAACACACAACTCTGGCGTCAGAGTTCTATTATGCTTTTCCAAACCTGGCAGAAACCATTTGCTTGGATCTTTGAACTCTTTCACTGGATGTGCACATTTGGGAAACACAGGGTCATCATGATCGTGTACATTTTGAATATGATTTACAAGGGATGTCCATTTTGCCACTTTCTCTGATCCTGTCTTGGAAGATGATGCAACCCAGTATATGTGGTTTTTTATGGCTGCTGTCCATTTCCCACCACCTGGCACTCTTTCTCTTTGGACAACCTATCCAACTTTTTGGATACACCTACAATATAACACATATATGCATTCATATAAGATAAAAAACCTACACGTTTTTCTGTTTTCACACAAGATTCATTCCAAACCTTTCTCCAGATGCCAGACATCATAGTACTGGGTTACATCTCGGCTCCGTAGAAAGGTTTTCACTTGTGTGTGACGGTCTGTGACAATATAGTCCACTTCAAGACTATTCTCTTGCAGGAAATCTAAGCACCGGCGCAGTCCTTCTTTTTCCATATAAAAACTTCCTCCTACCTCATTGCTCTAAGGAAACACAAACGTTGATTCGCACTGTCACTTGTAATGAAACAATAAATTGTGTAATCATCATTAATATTAGACATACCTGTACTAGTTGTATGTCAAGCACCTTCTCACTCTCAAGTTCCATCAGCGTATTGCTGCCATACTTAGCACTGTGTCCTAAATAAAAACATTGAAAAAACGTTACATGTCATGTGATATAATATGCTGACATTACCTTCCCTACCTGGTGAATCTGCTCTCATATCACCTCCCACAGCTATTTTGCCCTTCTTCAGATCCACCAAAAACCTCTCTTGATCTTTCCTCCACTTGTGGTTTATTGCTGGTTCAAGAAACTGCCGTGAATGTCTCCTAAATGAGTTGTACTGATGGATCTGAAGGTGCATAGCTTTACATATCTGAAGAACACATGATGTATGATAAACACAATGGTCAAAATGAACTCAATGTTGTGTTGTGCCGTTGTTACCTTTTCCAGCTTTACAAAGGATCCGCCGGAAAAATACACTGGTGCAGAAAGTTGTAGATTGCCAACTGGTGTGCTCCCCTGTATCGGCTGACTGTCCCACCTCCGATGATACAGGCAGTGTGGGCAATCTTGTGTAAATAAAACAAATGTCCCAAAAATGCTTCTCTGCATTTTACAGTTACGTGTGCAAACTGGGCATGTTTCAAATAGGAACTTCAAATTGCTGTCAAACACTATGTATTTCGGTTCTTCATAAGCAGAGGGACATTCCGTTTCCCTGTTTTTGGACAAAATATGACAAATACAGACATATTATTGATATTGTAGATAATTGCTACCTACAGTGTATACATACTACATACTTACATCATTCCGGAAACATCAGTGAGAGTGGCCCCAAGCTCATAAGTAGAGTCGTGTGGTTGTGGTGGGGAAATATCTGAGATGTCAGGATCCTCCTCGCCTTCCTCAAAAATGTCTGTACGACGTCTCTTCCTTGACCCAACACCGAGCCCAGAGGTAGATGATCTTATTGGTGTGGAGAACAGCACCATCCAACACTGATCTGTCTCTGTAGATGCATCTTTGGTGTTGGGTTTTGCAAGAGTACCTATTGAAATGCATACATAGAATTAGCAACATTCACACTACTACAGAACAGAATTGTACCACACATAATACCACACCTAATAATATAACAACACAGACCCCCAGTTTGGATTCAGGACTTTTAAAACATTCAGATAAACTTCACACTATTATCATCTTATGTTGTAACTTTTCATATATATAACTGGAAAGACAGACACTGAATGCTGGTAATTACGTGCATCTGTCAGCATTAGTGCGTGTTAATATGGTACCATGTCTTTGGTGTATGTGGTGTTTATTCACAATGTGCAAAAGCAATAGCCTACCTTTACTTCTGACATGTTGTAGCTTTAGGGTTCTGGCAGATATCTGTGTGGAGACAGTTCTGGTCCTCAGTTTTCCAGCAGTTGCTATCAATAAATCTACAAACGTGTATTCATCACTAAGTGTTCGAATATTATATGTAAAGGTTAAACTAAATATAATAGCTTGGTGTGGCGTAAACATGAGTAGCGTATACAAGTAATGTGTCGACTGATGTCAAACGTAGGGGGTTTGTTGTATAGTCTATGATCTAGGGCAGCGTTACTCTAACTTACTGTCATTGTTTTTCTTGAGTCAACAGCATAATCGTTTGTGTTATCGTGATTGTTTATTGCGAAAACTATACAACACTAACCCATTTGCATTCTAAATGCTTCAAGATCAAGATGAAATAAATATGGCTATACGATAACACTACAAATTAACATAATTTGATGCGTAATATGTACAAGTTCTGGCTAATTTCCAACTGAAGAGGCCGGGCTTTACTGGTTTGTAATCTACATGGTTCACAGCAACAAACAATCTATGACTAAAATGCCTTGGCCTCAGTCCAGGACAATGAACGTGTTATTGCCATTATTGTTACCTGTATCTAGCTTCTCTATAGTAACACTACTGCACATTATTACGATCTGTTCGTAATCAATCAGCTACTGTTCCAGTATTATGCATGATATTGGCGACATAGTGGACATGATTACTACAAGTACTATTACTTGGCAGTCATGTATGTTGAGTTTGCATTGTACTTACCGATCTTGGCTCCCCGTTAGCGTCTTTTATTGTGGGAACTACACCATGTTTCAAGATCAGCTTTTTAGTGAGTCCAGTTTCATGGTAACCGTAGTTCTGGAAGCAGTCTTTAGTGAAGTGTCACTCGCAGACGAACAAATTCTTTGACGGTTTCGGAGGCAGAAACCCGTGAATGAAGTCAAGCCACTTTCGCCGAATCGCTTCATCTTTGGGCAAGCCAAAGAGTCAAACAAACATTTTCTCCAAGTTGACATGATGCTGACACTTTTAGTGAACGACAGCAGCAGTAACTACAGAGATCGATGTGAAGCAAAGTACAGACTGCGGTAGAGTAGCTGCATGTACAGATCCATGCACGTTTGTGGGCGTGTTTGTTTTTATTCTCCCCTCTGCCAATCATTGCTGGCCCCTCCTGGAGGCGGCCTTATGCGCGTCATCAATGTGTAAATCGTCATAGAAGTGGACCCGAGCGTTTTGGTGCCTCTCGAGATTGAAGGAGACAGATCGCTCTCTAAGGGTGCTTTCACACCTGTTGGTCCACTAAAGTGGTTCGCTTGGGCCCTAAAGTTGTTACAATGTTGCAGTTCTCAACTAGTTCGGTTCTCATTCACACCAGTGTTTTTGCAAATGAACCAACCACTGTGGATGTTACATATTCTACCACCCATGTGGTGGCGCTGTTCACAAAATACTGTGTATTGGATGATGTATGTGAAACCTGATTGGTGCAGGATGTGAAGAGGGAAGAATACCAGAAGAAAACAAACTTGTCAGATCCTTAACGATGAACTGTGCTGCTCTAGTGTGCGGGTATTTTTTTTAATCATCGTTGCTTTGTGCAGCACAAATACTGTTGTTCCAGTTTGTATCGCAGATTCAGCACGAGAACACTCTGCGGGTGTTTTTGACTATTCTATCATATAAAAAAACAATGTGTGTGTCAAAAAGTGAGCTACACAACAGAGCAGGCCCATATTGAGGTTGGTCTGCGTTCTCACCAGCAGTGAACCAGACTGGGGTCCACATGGAACCGCACCGAGACCAGCTCCCTAAGGTGGTCTCGGTACGGTTCTTTAGTCCGGACCAAATTTAACTGGTCCACTTTCACACCTGCTCAAACGAACCGTACTTGCAGCTGATCCAGACTCCAGTCCATTTTAAGTGGACTAAATGGTGCAGGTGTGAAAGCACCCTAACTAGAGCTTGAGGGAATCAATGTTAAAAACACTCTGGGCATGTGTATGAAGCCCAAATAGCACTGTAATCATGTTTAAAGCAGAGAAAAGTCAAAATCCGTGATATGGGCCCTTTAAGGGGAGAGTGTTACGGCCCTGGGCATATCCTTAGGCCCAGGGCCCTGGGCCTTTGTCTACTTATCCTAAATGATAAGTAGACAAAAATCAAAAGGACAATTCCAGGACCATACAGGACATAACGGGGTAACTCAACGTTACCAAAAAATAAAACCTATACTAAACACTAATGCACTTAGAACTTAACACTAAACTTACTGCTGTCTCAACAAAAGCAAAGTGTCACAAAAACAAAACCTCAATGTGACAACTAAAAGCTATACAGACTCCGTCTTTAAGTCATTGCCACCACTGTGACAATGACAGACATATCGTAAGGACAATTGGCATACCAGCAACACACAGGCTGGCAGCCCCGAACAGGTGTGGAGTGTGGCCTTAAGTGGAGAGTTACTCCAGGTGGGAAAGCTGAATGGGGCCAGGTCCATATAGCTCTCCCCCTTAAGATACAAAACATAGACAAAGAGACAAATAAAAAGAGACAAACCAAATAAAAACTATGCAGACTCTGTCTGTACGGTCATTGCCACCACTGTGACAACGACAGACATCTCTTAAGGACCGAATGGCATACCAGCAACACACAGGCTGTCAATTGCTCCCTGTTTGAATTCTGTGTGTTTTTGTGTGTGTATGTGTGTGTGGCAACCCCTCCTGTTTTGAGATCCCTGGCCTGTGATGGGTGACCCACTGGCCCTCCCACCTCCCAGTTCATGACTCAGGTGCTGTCTGGAGGAGCAGCGGTGTACCTGGCCCATTTTAGTTCTGCAGACCTTAAAGCATCTATCTTTACCCTGAGAGAAGGATCCAGGGTTTAGACTCGCCGTATGGCAACTCGAGCAATACAGGATCGAGGGTTTCACACCACCTCTGTATATAGTCAATTAAGAGTTCTTTTACTGATGGCTCTCTTCTTTATTATAGCTTGTACACGATATTTCAAGGGTAACATGAAACATGTAGCACAACGACGCCACCGTCGAACTAAAATAAGCAACATAAAATACAATTAGTAAAACAAAACACTCAAATAATGCACTTAAGCATATTAAACACATATATACACATACCTCGCTGGATGACCCATACTTCAGAGGCAGAGTTATGACCTTGTCATCGCTCTTATAACACAATTTTATAATCACATTTGCTCTTAGCAGCGAACTTTTACCACACACGTCACTTGACATGTGGACTTGCGTAACTCAATTAGCGTCACCGAAAACAGGTAACGAAACAAAGGTTCCTACCCAAGGATTTTCAAAATAAAGCAATACATTTACAAATAATTCTAAAATACACAAATCAAAAGTATGGCAGTAAAACTCCCACCAAATCACACAACGTACATAGTCCCCCCCGGTGAGAAAAAGGCTGTCCACAGCCGTACACAACTGCAGATGCAATTTAAAACCAAACACAAAAGTATCCTATACATAGACATACAATTGAAGTCGGGACACACAGGGCGAAGACAATGTAGACCAATCAATCACTTTCAGCAAAACAAAAAACATAAATGTACAGTGGATTTCTCTTTTTTTTTTAAAGATGCCAGGAAACATAAACCTTACTTCTGCAAACATCAATGAACACAGGCGAGAAAACAATCTACACCATTGTAATACTAAACAGTATAAAAGTCCAGAAAAACAAAAACAAAAAGTCAGAACGGAAAGAGCTCGCTTTAGATCCATTTTGTCTGTGTGAAATGCATTAGTCCATTTCTTGTCACACCAGCCTGATGTTATTCTGGGGTCACGTCTGGGTCTGAGATTGTAATGTCCTGGGCCTGGGTCAGAGAGGGACTCAGGGGAGGGGCAGTCCATAGGAACAGAGTCAATGTCCTGCAAAACAAAAGGTAACACACTCAAGGCAGTTTCATTGTCCGCTTGCTGGGTGTGAGTCATGTGGGGGGCAATATCAATGTCCAAAACCTCATCGCCCCCACAGACGGCAGGAGGAGAAACAGGGTGGCCTTTGGTGGAGAAAGAGTCCCACGTGTGAAACGGTTGCATATTCACAACATGATAAACACCAGCATTAGCACCAGAGTCCATCCTAGTGAGTCTGTAGTTCACGTCGCTAAGTTTCTGCGAAATCTGTAGCGGTCCTTCAAATAGGGGTGCTAGTTTAGCAGTAAAGCTGGACTGAGCGTCTGATCGAGGGTGGGTTTTAACTCTGACGAGATCACCAACATTAAAGGTGGCATGACGACGCCTTAAGTCATAGTAGTGCTTCTGCCTGTCATGACTATGGTCAAGAGCAGCCCTTGCATGATCATGGGCTTCCTGTAAGGAGGCTCTAAGAGTCTCAGGGTAAGGAACACCTGGCTCATCAACACCGTCACTAGAAGGTTGCGTGATAAGGTCAAGTGGGGTGTCTAGCTCACGGCCATAAAGCATCATGGAGAGACTATGTCCCGTGCTATCATGAGGCGCTGTACGCAGGGCAAAACAAATGTGTGGGAGGTACTTGTCCCATGAAGTGTGTTTGTCTCCTACGTAAGCACGTATGGCAGTTTTCAGAGTCCGGTTGACACGCTCTGTAGCGTTAGTCTGAGGGTGATATGCTGTAGTAAGTCTGTGTACAGAGCCTAAGGCAGAGACGACGTGTTCAAACAGCTCACTCACAAAAGGAGACCCTCTGTCAGAAATAAGATAGGCAGGTGCACCATGTCTAGCAAAAATGTCAGTAACAAATTTACCAGCAGCCACATGTGATGTGGCTTCTCTTACAGCACTCGCCTCTACCCATTTGGAGAAGTAGTCCACAAACACAATCAAATACATATTACCAGCTGCAGTACGGGGAAGAGGGCCGACAAAGTCCACACCTACGTACTCCCAGGGTTTTTGTGGAACAATTGGGACCATAAGACCAGCTGGTTTTCTTTGACTAGGCTTAGTAAGCTGGCAGACTGAGCATGAAGTTACATAACGTTTTACATCAGCCGCCATTTTTGGCCAGAAAAACCTGAGACGTAGTCTCGCTAAGGTCTTTGAAACACCAAGATGACCTGCAGTGGGGTGGTCATGATAATAGTTAAGTAAGGTTCCCCTCATAGTAGTAGGCGCAAACAGCTTGAGCTCTTTTAAAGGGAGCTTTTGAAACCTTACAGTACAGGAGAGAATCATAAGCAACATACTGTGGCAGATTAACATTGTCCACATTGTTTTGTGAGTCTGTCTCAATGTCCCTTAACAACGGCCCAGTGACCGAGTCATCAAGCTGCAGCTGCCTGATTTGAGAGCGATCTGCTAGCAGAACAAGGGGCAGGGCACGAATGTCCAAACTGCCAATAACAGCATGCTCCGGCAAGAGATCTATGGGAGAGTCACAAGTTGAGGCCAATGGATTTCGAGACAGCGCATCTGGCACTTTGTTGCGTATGCCAGGTTTGTGCACTATGGTGAAGTCAAAATCCTGAAGTCGGAGTGACCAGCGGGCAAGCCTGCCTGTCGGATTCTGACGAGACATGAGCCACTTGAGACTATTATGGTCAGTGTAAATAGTTACATGCATACCTTCAACATATGGCCGAAAATGCTCAAGGGCCCAAATGACAGCAAGGCACTCCTTTTCTGAAGTGCTATAGGGCAGCTCGGCTTTGTGAATAGAGCGGCTAGCAAAAGCCACTATATTCTCACGACCCTTGTCATCTTTTTGCATTAAAGCTGCACCGAGACCGATGTCACAAGCATCCGTGTGAATGAAAAAGGGACGCGCAAAGTCTGGGAATGACAAAACAGGGGCTGATGTGACACGCTGAATCAAAATGTCCATAGCTTTTTGACAGTTGTCGTCCCACTGGAAAGTCGCATCCTTTCTTGTGAGCGCATGTAGAGGCTCAGCATGCCGAGCATAATCCTGGATTAAGCGGCGGTAGTATCCAGTCAGGCCAAGGAACTGCCGGACATGTTTCACGGTAGTTGGGGTGTTGAATTCCGTCACTGCCTTGATCTTGTCCGGGTCCGGTTTAATACCCGAAGATGTGATGCGGTAGCCGAGGAAATTGAGTTCTTCGAGACAGAACTGGCACTTTCTGAGTTTAAGCGACAGGCCAGCAGATTGGAGTCTGGTAAGCACCTCCTCGAGGTCTGCCAGATGCTGTTCAAAGGTGGGAGATGCAATAACAATGTTGTCAAGGTAAACAGCACATGTTTTGTAAATGAGACCAGCGAGTACAGAGTTCATAAGTCTCTGGAAAGTCGCGGGAGCATTGCAAAGCCCAAAGGGTAACACTCTAAACTGGAAAAGACCACAATGTGAGATAAAGGCAGTCTTTACTCTAGACTCTTCTGCAACTGCGACCTGCCAATAACCTCGCGCTAGGTCGAGTGTTGTGATGTATTTACCCCTTGCTAGAAAGTCCAGTGACTCATCCACACGAGGTAAAGGATATGAGTCTTTTTCTGTTATCTGGTTGAGACCTCTAAAATCAACACAAAATCTTGGGTCTCTGGCTTCTCTGTTAACAATGACCACAGGAGCTGCCCACGGACTAGTGGAAGGCTCAATGATATTGTCCTGTAACATTTGTTGTACTTGTTCCTCTATCACCCGTTTCTTAGCAGGCGATGTACGATAAGGCGGGAGATTCACAGGTTTGGCATCCCCTGTTTCAATGACATGTTCAGTAAGTGATGTTCGACCAAGGTGACCATCAAACATCGGTCCAAACTTGGCGAGCATCTTGAGAAGAGCATTTTTGTCGTCTTCAGTTAAGCTGGCCTCTGACATTTTGGTTTTAAGGTCAGAGGTCAGTGTGTCCATTGACATAATATTTACAGTTGTACCTGTGAAATCCGCTGGACTGTCCTCCTCATCCATGAGCGGGCAGGGGGCATCGTCTGCAAACACTGTTCTTGTGGGAATATGAATGGAGATAGAGGCTCTAGTCATGAAATCCATTCCCAAAATGAACGGAGTAGACAGTTCTGGGATGACAGCAAAACGCTGGTAATAGTTTTTGTTCATGAATCCAACATTAAGCCAAGTGACACCATCTGGAATGCAAGGAGCGTTGTTAGCAAGATTAACTGGTGGGCCCTTCCACTCACTCGTCTTAGCGGGATAAGTGCCATTAACTTGAATAAGATCTGCTCTAATGGCTGAGAGAGAAGCTCCTGTGTCAAGAGTAGCTTCAACGGGAGTGCCATTAAAGTTCAATTTTGTTCTGAGAGGAGTATTCCAGTGTACTAACAAAAAATTGTCCTCCAAGTGTCCCAAAACTGGTCCGTCTTGTGGTGGTTGAGGCTCGCTTAGTGCCTGGAGGGAGGGTGGCCTCTGTGAAATTTCCTCCCCCCTCTGTAGTTTCCCGGCTGCCTGTCTTGAGGTGGGGCAGGGGTGCTACTGTTTTCACAGTTTGGCTGGCCCAAGTATGGGGGACCAGGCGGTTGAAATGACTGCGCACTAGGCCCCGCAGATGCAGCAGCAGTCTCATTTGTAGGGGATGAATTATTACAGTTAGGACAGGTGCGTGTGGTGAACCCTGGCAATGAGCATTTGAAACAGTGGGGTTCTGATTTGTAGTGTTCCTTGTAACGTGAAGTCTGCGGCCCACTTGGTCCAAGCACTGAGTGGAGCTCATGAGCACGAAGCAGGAGGTCCATTACCGAAGTCACATGAGCACCATAAAGTGCAACTCTGTATTTTTCAAGTGAATGTTTTCTAATCAGTTCAATCTGCTCTCTTTCAGGAGGAGGACTTTTCAGTTTGTTGTACTCACTCAGCATATGGGCGACAAAAGTTGGCAGGGGCTCATCTTGAGCCTGGATACGATCCAACAGTCCTCTCAGAATGCGTTCTTGGTTGTCCGAGGGTAGAAAAACAGTCTGAAACAATTGACAAAACTGAGCCCAAGATGTTATATGGGAGCTCAGAGCTTTGAACATTTGCTTGGCTCTTTGGCAAGGAAATGTGGAAGTTCGTTCAATAATTGTCCAACAGTAAGACCCAATGAGGATCTGTATGCAGTTACTGCCTGTAACCAATCTTCTGGCTGTACCTTGTTGTCCGCTGCGAATACGGGAGGTTCCAGCTTGGCATGGTGCAGAGCTGCTGCTATCACTCTGGAAGTATTGCTCAGCTCCAGTGTGTTAGGGCTGAGGGACGGGTTGGTGAGAAGTGTAGGTTCACCTCTGTTCATTGCAGGAACATGCGGTGTGGAAGTAGCCATTGGAAAAATGTTTGATGGCTGGACCGCAGGAGGGGTGGGGTTTTCTTTGGAAAGATGGTCCCACTGTCTCAGCATAGTTCTTTGCATGTCCAGCGAGTCACGTAAACAGTCACTAAGTCTGTTAACTTCTGCTCTCAAATCAACTACTTCTTTACTAAGGTCAGGTTTATCCTCCAAAATAATGTGTTGCATTGGCAAAGAGATAAGCTCCATGTCAGAGTCCTCGTCCTCTAGCATGTCTATAAAATGGGCCATTGTACTTCATAAAAAAAAGGAGAAAGCACAGTACCGTTCTAAAGTAGGATTGTAAATGAAAAATCAATTAGGCCTAGTCTAAACTGACAAGAAAAATCTACGAGGTACTTTAAAAATGCTGGCTAACCTTAAAAAGATACAATAGCACTCAAAATAAGACTTTAATGCGGGACTAATGCTCTAACATTGCACAAGTGTAAATAAATCTTTGGTACCTGCAGCTAACGCCTTGTGCATTCCACATACTATGGATATTTTTTAGTCGTTGTTGCAATATTTCTTAGTAGCATACGATAGAAGAACTCGTCACTAGAGTCAGTACTCACTGCCAAGTCCGGGACAGTCTAAATGCTGGAGGGCAGGCAGGGAAAGTTTTCATGTGCTCAAAATGGGGTAAAAACATTCAGCATAGCTCCACTACTGCATTTCAGTTTGAGAGAAAAATAAAAATGTGCGTAGGGAAGCAAATCCAGCGTGATCCTGATGTCCACTAACCACTGATATAGCGTGTGGAATAGCGTTAGCTTATTGTCCCTTCACCGCAGAAAAACAGCAGCGCGTGCACACACGGTTACATCCAGAGTATAGTCGGTTACCACTCGAATCTGAGCTCCAGCGATGACCGGGGAAAACCTCAGCAAAAGCAAATATAAGTCCGATATACATTTACGTGAGGCAGCTTAATCCTTTGTGAAGGAAAAACTCAACCGAGGTCCTGGGAAAAATAGTTCGGGCGCCAGTTGTAACGTGGGGTGGCAGTCTTCAGGTGAAAAGCCTTTAGCAATGCACTCAAAAAGGGGAAAAAGACTCGTTTTATCTCCACTTACTTTATTGATAGAACAATGCCAGGTCTTCATATAATGCCATACATGACAGCTATTTCACCCGTACCACTTGTTACGTAGAGTTGGAGAGAGAGACAAAATGCGTGTGCCTCTTGCTAACAGCATACATACAGTGTATATTTAATAGTTACTTAATGTAACTTAAGTTCTACGAATAGGTGCGTAGTCCCTTAGGACTTCGCTAGTGGGATATCACTCGTGACCCCCAGGTCAACGCCAGAGAGATCAAAATAATTTGCTCCAATCACCAGCCACCTTCCTCTATAAATGCCCCTGCACAAGGCCGCACCCCCTCTTGAACTCTGCCAAGCCGGGCTGGCCTGATGGGCTCGTAGCTAAGGGACTACGCACCTATTCGTAGAACTTAAGTTACATTAAGTAACTATTAATTCTACGTCATGGTGCTACGTCCCTTAGGACTTCGCTAGTGGGACACAACGCGGAGGCCGTAGGAAAATGTACTCCCAGCAGGCCAGCGAAGGGTGATTGGAGCTCCGCCCGAGCAAGACCCTCACCACGTGAGAGGACTCAGGGCAGAAGAAACAAGCGTGTTACGGGGCCACTCCTACCAAGGATACCCCCACGTAACACAAGCCGTAGGTCATCCGTAGTCACAGGACGCCTCTCCCAAGAGCTCCTGACGTGGACTACCAGACCGACCATACACACAAATGTACCGCACCTGTAGGATGCCTCTCCCAAGAGCTCCTGCACCAGGGCGGAAAATAGACCGAAGGCCCCCCTCAGAGGAGGGACCCAACGGTCTAACTCAGTCCGCTGCACTCAGCACGGAATGGGCCACCGACCGGTCCGACACATCCGAAAGATAAGACCGGACGAAAGAGGAGGACGACGCCCAAGAAGCCGCACGGCAAACGTCCTCGACCGACGCCCCCCTGAGAAGGGCCGTAGAGGCCGCCATCCCACGCGTGGAATGCGACCTGAAACCCACCGGGGGGGCCAGACCCTGCGTCTGATACGCCCGTCGCACCGCCGTGGCGACCCAATGCGCCAGCCGCTGAGCCGACAGCGGGGCGCCCCTGTTCTTGGGGCCCAGACACACAAACAGCTGATCACCCGACCTGAATGACGACGTCATGGCCAGGTAATGCCTCAGCATTCTGATAGGACACAGAAGGTGCTGCCGCTCCTCCTCGGGGGAGGCATGCGGCGGCGGGTGGAAAGCCCTAATCCTGATGACTCTCGACCTAAAGGCCGACGTGATGACCTTGGGGAGAAAAGCCGGATTGGGCCACAACTCCACCATGCTGTCGTCCTCTCCAAAGGACAGGCACGACGCATGGACGGAGAGCGCACACAAATCGCCCGCCCTCTTAGCAGACGCCAACGCCAGTAAGAGGGCCGTCTTAAAGGCGATACACTCGGGACTCGCCTCCGCCGCCGGTTCAAAAGGCGAACCCGACAGCCCCCTAAGGACCACCCTGAGGTCCCAAACCGGAGGCGTTCTCTGGAGCGGGGGCCTCCTCCTGCGCGCCCCCCGCAGAAAACGTTTAACCAACGGGTGAGAACGGGCTGTGAACCCCCCGAATCCGACGTGACCCGAAGTAATGGCTGCCGCGAACACCGCCAAGGTAGCGACAGCCCTCCCCTTGTCGAAGAGCTCCTGTAGGAATCCCAGGACCCCCTCCAGCGGGCAACACCTGGGATCCCAGGAACGGGAATCGCACCAGACACTGAATAGCCTCCACCTCGTGGCGTAGGCCCTCACGGTGGACGGCGCCCTCGCTCCCTGAATGGTCTCCACCACCGCAGGGGGAAGACCCAGATCTACGAGGCTCCGCCTCTCAACCTCCAAACCCAGAGCCTGCGGCCGATTATCGGACGTGAAAATAGGGCTCCTGCCCCCTGGACTAGAGCCCCCGGCTCGTCCGGGAGGGCCCAGGGCTCCATCACCGCCATGCCCCTCAGGAAGGGGAACCACCGGGCATGCGGACTGTCCGGAGCCACCAGAATCACCGATCTCCTCTCCTGTTCGATCCTCCGCAGCAGGACCGGCAGGAGACGCACTGGTGGGAAAGCGTACAACAGGCCGCCTGGCCATGGGTAAAGAGCCAGAGCGTCCACGCCTAAGGGCGGCTCGTCCGCGGCCCTTAAGGCGAACCAGGACGGGCACTGTGCGTTCTCTGCACTGGCGAAAAGGTCGACTACTGGACGGCCGAACCTCCGCCAGATCTCTGCAGCTACCCGTGGGGCCAGGCCCCACTCGTCCTGGAGTGGGCCCCCCCTGGACATTCTGTCGGCTCCCACGTTCCGGACCCCCGGTGCTGCCCCTTGGGGAACCCAGATCAGCCTCCCCCCGTCCCGGGAGGGGTGAAGCCTGAGGCGCGAGAACCACCTCTGAAAATTTCTCATGTGGAGCAGGCCTAGCCGCACCACAGCATGAGCCGCTGCCATCATTCCCAGCAGGGACCTGAGGCGCCGAGCGGGGACTCTGGGGCCCGCCAGAACCTCCCGGGCCAGACGGGTAATATTCATCCGTCTGTCCACGGACAATGCAGCACGGAATATCACAGAGTCTAGCTGCAGACCGAGATAAACCATGCGTTGGGCTGGCTGCAGCTTGCTCTTCTCCCTGTTCACCACAAAGCCCAGACGCTGTATGTGGGACAGGACCCAGTGCGTGTGGCTCACGGCCACTTCCCTGGATGGGGCCAGTATTAACCAATCGTCTATATAGGTTAATATTCTTACCCCCGCACGTCTGATCGGCTCCAGAGCTGCTTCCACACATTTGGAAAAGGTCCGAGGCGCGAGTGCGTACCCGAAGGGTAGACGGCAGTACTCGTAATTCCTCTCTCCCACTGCGAAGCGCAGAAACCTCCTGTGTTCTGGCACTATGGGCACGTGGAAGTACGCATCTGTCAGGTCTATGGAAGTCATCCAGTCTCCTTCCCTGACACACTCGAGGAGCTGCCTTGTGGACAGCATCCGAAACTGCCGTTTGGAAATGCACTCGTTTAACACGCGCAGATCCAGAATGGGACGCACCCCGCCTGATTTCTTTGGCACTAAGAAGTAAGGGGAGTACAGCCCCCTGGTGGCGTCCTGCGGGTCTACCTCCACTGCTGCGCCTCGACTCAGCAGAGAGGAGACCTCCGCTTGTAGTGCCTCTGTCGATCCCCGTACCTGAGAGCGTACCGCCCGTACGCCTCGGAATGGTGGTGGCTTTCGGAAAAATTGCAGCGCGTAACCTCTGCGCAGAGTTTTCTCCAGCCAAGTATCTGTCAGTAGGCCCTGCTCCCTCCAGATGCTGTAGAAATCTGTGAGGGGCGGAACGGGAGTTGGAACACGAGACGTCACGGCCCCGCCCCCTCCTGGTGTTCCTAGCAGGGAGGGGGGGTGGCTGAAAGGGCCGGGGGGGCCCCTGCGTCACACTGTGAGCGCCGAGGGCGGTCACGTGTTCTGCAGGCCCGACGTCATAAGTACGGGACTGCTCACCACACGTGACTCGGCTGCTGTGCCCCCCCCTGGCTCTTGCCTCATGGAGGGGGGGGCGAGCCCCTGGAGTGGGAAACCCCGTGTTAGCCTTGTAGCTCTGCTCACCACACGTGACTCGGCTGCTGTACCCCCCCCTGGCTCTTGCCTCATGGAGGGGGGAACGAGCCCCTGGAGTGGGAAACCCCGTGTTAGCCTTGTAGCTCAGAGATGCTAACACGCGTTCGGCCGGAGCACACACATTATCACTCACCAGATCCCTCCGCCTGCCCTCTCTCCGGGAGGGCAAAACATGAACCCAAGAGTCGGAGCTCGTGGCCCGCGTAGCACGCTGCACGCCCTTCTCTGGGGGCTGCAGGCCTAGCGGAGCCACGTTATATGCTCGAGAAGTAACACAATCAGAATTCAAATCATTTGACAAGTTACATACCCCCAAATGAGACTCAGACAGCGAGTACTGATGAAATGCCGGACGGCCTTTATTGAAAACATTCTTCCCATCCCGACCTCCTCTGCCATAGGGAGGTCGTC